AAAAAAATGTCATTTTAATAGAAAAATCATTTGTTGATTTCAAAAGAGATATAGAAATCCTATAATATTTATCAGTTTTAAAATTTGTTTGATACAATAATTAAAATATCTAAATTTATTCTTCAATTTAAGTTTTATTGTTTTAAAAAAAATATCAGTATTTCTCTTAAAGAAAAGATCAAAACATTGGAAATAATAATGATTTTTGTACTTTTATTCTAATGAGAATAAAAACAACCTTTATCTTATTATTTTATTTTTAAATTGTTTAAATATTATTTTCTTAACAAACTAATTTATTTAACAAGAATTTAAATATAAAAATAAGTTATATAAATTTAATATTTTTAATAATTATTAACTAAGGAACATCAGAAAAAAAAATTAACAATATATAACAACGTACAAATCATTCACCACGTAAAAAAAATAATAATTAGTTAGACACATCCAATTTTTTCGAAACAGTAAAATATATGTTTAAGCCTTTAAACAACTACCTTCTAAATACAATTAATTTTTATACATGTTTCAATCAATTTATCTTTTTATATTTTTACATTCAATAAGCGAATAGGACCAATTAAATTTTCAAATAGTTTATTTTTTTCATAAATTTTTAATTGAAATATTTAATAATAAATAAAATTATTTTTTAATTTTATAAAATGCAAACATATAATCATATCAATGTCTATTTTGTCTAGTTCTAAATGAGAGAAATGAGCTGTGCTACCTAAAGTCATTATACCACCTAAGACACATAGAGTTACTTATATAACCGGTTAGATATCACTTTAAATATAGAATAAACATTATTAATTTTTATTAAGATTATAATAAAAAGAAATATATTAATAATAATTCATAATTATTATCATATTCCAAAAGATACAAGTTATAATTATAATATTAAATACTAAAATTTAAACTGAAATATTATGGTTTTAATAAATTCTCATATCTATCTTTCAATCAAACAAAAATAAAAACCGGCATTAATTTAAAGTCTTGTATCACTAAAACTAAATTTAAATTAATAATTAATAATTGATATAATATTAGAAAAAACACAAAATATAGTTATTATAATATTAGAATATTAAGAAAATATAGAATACCAATTTGTTTAAAAAAATATAAATTAAAAATAAATATTAGTATTATAATCTTAACTGACTTTCAAATTCGGAGATAAACAAGTGACATCAAATCTTAAGGTTTTATCTTTGTTTCTACCACACTATTCCACTCCAAAATCATCCATACTTAGAACATATGATGAAGAATGTTGAAAACAAAGATGCATCCAATTCTGAGACTTTTGCAAAGTCCAAACTCCATATGGAACATGATGTCAGAGGTACTGTTGCTCAATTCTTAATTTTTCATGGTTTAACTATAAATTGTATTCTTTTATAAAGATGTGGAAGGTGAGAAATTTAGGTGTTTACATTGCTTTTGTAATTGGTCATATCATTTTGGCATATTAGCTGAATATATATTTACAAGTTTGAGCTTAAAATGAAGTTATCTGCATTTTTTAATAGCTTTTTATGGATTTTGCGGTACTCCAATATGGTTTTTAAAGGAACAGCGCATGCTTTGCTTTGTGGTGATTTGGTTTAATGAACATAATTGTGCAGAATTGTGCTTCCCATGATCATTGATAAACGGTTTTACCTTTATAAAAATCTCTCATTTCTATATATAAGCTTAAAAATACTTATTTTAATGTTTTAACTCTTTTTTTTTCTACCCAGATGAATTTGGTTTACCTTCTTTTTCAAAGAAGAGAAAGAAGAGGGAAGATACTAATGATCAATTGCCCAGCAAAGGTAAAAAGAAGGTGTTTCGACCTAAATTGGTGTCTCAAATACCTAAAAGAAGAAAAAAATCTCAAGTCAAAAGTAAGACTCCAAAACCTTCAACCCCGGAACAAAGAGAAAATAACATAAGAAGGGGTGGTTCTTGCGAGAGGCAGTTGTTCGATGAAGATTCTTCAAATGCTAGCAACGAAATAGGCATTCAACACAATTCAGTGCAAAGTTATCACAAAATGTCATCTTTATCAGGTTTATGTCTACTAAAAGAGAAACAGATTGGATCAGAATTTCCATTCTTGTTCAAGAAAAAGAGAGTCCTTAAAAGAAGATTGCATTTGCTAAAATTTTTGACCCCTGTTGAAAAAAGGAGATCAAAGTGGTTCACTAGAAAGAGAAGACAAAAGGTAGATTTCAGTGTAGATGATAGCAATTTCAAGAATAAGATGCTGATAAATAGAATCAAGAAATTTTCTTCTTTGATGAAAAAAGGTAAAAGTAAAAAGATCAATGAGCTTGATAACTGCAAAGACTCTGGAAAATTGGTTCTTTACAAAAAGTCAGCTTTAAATGATAGTTTACTTGATGAGGAAACATCAAGAGTGTGGAACTTGCTGAAGCAGGAAAAAGGGCATGATGAGAATGATGAGATGAAGAGAAAATATTGGGAAAACATCAGAAAAATATATCAATGCAAGGTTGAATCATTCATAGATCACATGCATTTCATTCAAGGTTTGTTTTTGTTTTTGTTTTTTGGTTTCATAGTTATCCAAATATTTTTTATTCATTTTATTAAATTAACTGGAAATCTGAGAGAATCCTTTTAATTTTAATTAATTAGATATCAATTGTCATGAGTTCTATTTTCATGGACAACTAAAGTATCCGTTTAGAATAGAGAGTCATCCCTGTCAAATTGAGTTTGTTTAAAACTAAGCTAAAATAATAGAAATTAAACATGTTATTTAACAAACTCTCAGTTCATAAGGAAACATAACATGTTTTAGCTGTGTTAACTATTTATTGTTAGTGAAGATTAACTTTTATAGAAACAGAACCTTACCGACTATAGTCTTCAAAATATCTAGAAGAATTCATGTATTTTTCTAAAACATGTTCTACAGGTAATCTTTTGAATAATATTTTAGTGTCTACCATTAAAACATTTATTTTGTTATTAAAACATTATTGGCTTAATAATTACTATCTTAATTGAGAGTTACTTTTAATATTAACATAGAATATGTGTGTAAGGTATTAATTTTGTAGTCGGACTATATTGGTAAAGTATTACAATTGATAAACTTTTTGTTTACTTTTTATTCAAAATTTTAATTTTGTTACACTATATATTAAGAAGCTATAATTTATACCAATTATTTTATGGAATCGTGTTATCCAAATTCAAAATATAATATTATTATGTTTCTCTCTATGTGAGAAAAAAATATTACCCATAATAAATTTATAAAATGGAAAAATTTTGTTATTTATGTATTATTTTATTATTGTTTTGCATATGGAGTTTTTTTTTTGCGTTATTAATGATAGCAAATTTGATACTGTTTTTATTTTTTTTATTTGGTTGGTGATAACTTGACAGGAGATAGACGTTTTCTACCATGGAAAGGTTCAGTTTTGGATTCTGTGGTAGGAGTCTTCTTAACACAAAATGTGGCTGACTATTTATCAAGGTAAAGTTAATTATTTTTTGTTTAATGTATGCGTTTGTCTAAGAAATTTATTATACGAACAAGAATAATTTTATGTTTTCATTTTATTATAAAATGTTTATGAAATATATAATTTTTTAAACAAACCCATTTAAATCCTTGATTTCAAATTGCTTATTTATTGTTTACTTATGATATTTCGTGAAGCTCCGCGTTCATGTCACTTGCTTCAAAGTTTTCTTTAGAGAAAAAAGAAAGGAATCTGGAAAAAGAAGAAAAAAAAGATGAAAAAGAAGAAAAAGAAGATGAAAAAGAAAACAAAGAAGATGAAAAAGAAAACAAAGAAGATGAAGATAAAAATGAGTCAAGTTCTATCAAAATTGATGATAAAGGAACAACTAATGGAAGAAGTGAAGAGACAAACGTTGTTGATGAGAAAAAGTCAAAGGGAAAGAAAACAAAAGAAGAAGAAGAAGAGATGAGAAAAAAGAGAAAATATTGGGATTTATTAAGAAAAATATATACTAAAAATTATCGAAGTGAAGATTATATGGATTCTGTGGATTGGGAAGCAGTGAGAGTTGCAAAACCAAGAGAAGTTGCACAAACTATAGCAGCTCGAGGTCAGCATAATATCATCGGAGAAAGAATACAGGTATATCACCTTTTTTTCTTATTATTTTATTTAATTTCATTCTCTTATTAATAAAATAATCATTTTGTTATAAATTATTTTTACAGGATTTACTTAAGAGTTTGATGGAATCCAACGGAAGCCTAGACTTGGAATGGTTAAGATATGCTCCACCAAAACACGTAAAGTAAGTTTAAAACACTTATTTCATTTCTTAAAAATTTATTTATGATTATGACTTTATTAATTATAAACATAATCACTGTTGTTATAGAGAATATCTGTTGGCCATAGGAGGATTGGGATTAAAGAGTGTTGAGTGCATTAGACTTTTAGCCCTCCATCACACTGCTTTTCCGGTAATTCTTTTTATTAAATACAAATTAATTATTTTTAAATTGTATATAAAAAATGTTTGTGTATATAACATAATTGTTTTTTTTGTTAATATTAAGGTGGACATAAATGTTGCAAGAATTGTTGTCCGTTTAGGTTGGGTTCCCATCCAACCATTGCCAGAATATATTCAAATACATAATTTAGAGGTGTAAGTTTCCATCATTCAATTTTTATTAATTTATGGATATTTATTAGCCTATTTATTAATTACTTTAATTTAACTTTTTTTTTTTTAATGTATAGGTTTCCTGATTCAGATAAAATTCAACAATACCTTTGGCCTCGGTTATGCACACTTGATCCGCCTCAATTGTAAGGATGATCTACACATCTTAAATTAATTATTTTTTATTATTTTTCATCTAATGATATTACTTTTAACAGGTATGAATTGCATTATCAACTTATAACTTTTGGAAAGGTAAATATGATTATTATATTATTGTTTTAGATTTTTTATTTTATTTATAAGAGTCACGTGATCATTTAAAATTATTTTCAGGTCTTCTGCACAAAACAAAAGCCAAATTGTAATGCTTGTCCATTGAAAAGTGATTGTAAATATTTTGCAAGTGCTTTTTCGAGGTAAGAATTTCATTTTATATAAATTCTAATACATAAGTGTACATTTATTTATTCTAATTCAATAATATTGTACTTATATAGAGAAAAATTAGCCTTGCCGGAATCAAAGCCAGATTACGAAGATAAAACAGTATCAAAATTTGCTTTACCTGAACCAACATGTCTGATTTATGAGCCAAAAAGATGTGAACCTACCATTGAGCTTCCAACATCACCAGAACATGTAGATGATTGTAAAGACATTGAAGACATTTCAAAAGATTATTATAATTCAGAATCTAAGGAAGATATCAGTCTATCCAAAGCTATAATTACATCTTATGCAGATCATATTCCTATGCAAAAAATGAAGGATGTTAGTCGTCTAAAAACAGAGCGTTTAGTGTAAGTTTCTCATTCAATTTAAATATTATATTTTAAAAAAAATGTTATCTGATATTTTGTTTTTAATTTTCTTGTAGTTATGTTCTTCCAGATAATCATCCTCTGTTGTCCGCGATGCAGGTTTGTTCTTTTATTTTAAAAATAAAATATTTTTCATATATGTTTTTAACACAAAAGAATATATATGCAGTGTGAACAAAGGCAAACAGATGATCCTTGCCCTTATCTCCTAATAGTATGGGATAGAGGTATATTATTATGACGTAAAATTATTTATTATATTATAAAACATTTATTTTATAGTAAAATGTTAATTTTATACTTTATGTTTATTCAGGTGAATTAGAAGATTCATGTGAATCAAATTTGGACGAGGAAGCAAATACACTTACTATTCCTGCAACTCTTTTGGTAATTAAATTTAAGATTTCAAAAAAATAAATAAATTGTATTCAATAATTAATAATTTATAATTAATAATTAATAATTTATAAACAGATACCATGTCGAAGTGCTATGAGGAGTCGTTTTCCACTTAATGGGACGTATTTCCAAGTTAACGAAGTAAGTATTGTTGAAATGTTTTAAAATTTAGGTTAGTTTTTGTAATATTTATGCTAATTTTTTTCATTTTTGTTAATTATGTTTAAGGTGTTTGTTGATTATGCTTCAATGATACATCCTATCAATGTACCAAGAAAGTGGTTATGGAACTTAGATCAACGAATAGTTTATATTGGGACGACTGTTTCATCAATCATGCGAGGTAACCAAATTCATTAAATTAATATATGATTATAAATACTATACTGTTTGTGATAAAATATATATATTGTTTTATAGGTTTGTCTCTGGGTCAAATTCAAGATTGTTTTTGGAATGGTAAGAAACTATTTAATTATTACTTATTAATATGTTAAATATAACTATAAAATTATATATTGTTAAAAATATATGAATTTTGCAGGTTTTGTTTGTGTGAGAGCATTTGATGTGAAGACCAGAGCACCTAGACCTATATCTGAGATGTTACATCGCAACACAACCGCTAAACTTAGAAAAGGTAAAGGAACAAAAAAATAATTTTTTTTTGTATAATTGAGAAAACTTTTAATATATATAGTTGGATGATTTATTATATTGGAATATATGTATAGTGTAATACAGCATTAATTTGATATTTTAGATGTTTTCATTTACAATTTTTAAATTATAAAAGTATTTGTAATACGAAAGAATAACTTAATTAATTACTCTTATATTTGTGTATTTATAGAAATTATAGATTAAAAATCAATTAATATAAAGTATAATATTAATTAAGTGTTTGTATCATTGAATTAATATTTTTAAATTAAATTGTAAAAGATTATATTTAATTAAGTTAAATAATTATTATGAAATAAAATATTATATATTGTTATACATCTAATTTTATTTTCTAATCGTACTATATTTTATAGTTTCCAATTTTTATAGTTTAAAGTTATATGGATGAAAAATTGAAAAAGATTTGTATAATAATTAAAAAGAGTTAAAGGATAATAAGGTTGTTCAACAAAAATAAATAATTTTAATAAATTTTTAAGAAAATAAATTTCGAATTAAGGTTACATATATAGTCAGATTTTTGTTATTTTGAAAAAGAATAATAATAAAATAAAATAAAAGTCAAAAATGGATATTGAAATTCAGTTTATTTACTTGTGAAATGATTGTTGTGTGTTTAATGAATAGAAAACATTTATTAAATAAACTACATATGCCCAAGTATCATGGTTGAAGATGTTTGAAGTAAATTTTCATATGTTATTATTTTAAAATTTATTCCAATGTTTTGTCTTGTAGTTTAATGGATTTTTTTAAATGTATTTCTGTTTTAATTAATGAACTTGTTATAATTGATTATAAGGGAGATGATTGTTGACAAGGGATCATTCATGTTCGATTACAATAAACCTCTGTGTAATTAGTCAATATTTAAGACAATAACCCATAAATCCTTTCAATTTTAAATCATTTAAATTGTAAATGTTTTTTTAAGTTTTTCTTATATATCTTTACAAGATAGTTCTTTATCAAATACACAGAAATTCTGAGTCAAGAAAAAAACAAAGAAATATAAAGTGAAAATAAAAAAATAAGATAAGAAAATACAAGAACACAACCTTAAAATTGAAGAAGAAAGAGTAATTATATTGAAGATTAATAGAAGAAGATATCTAAAATAAGAATACAGAGAGTTTTACACTTTTGAGACACTTAAAATTCTTACCAATCTATTTGATATTCAAAATACATGACGCCTTCCTACAAGGTAAAGAAAATCAAACACTCATTTATCTTTGAAACTCTTTTAGATATTTACTTTTGACATATTAAAAGTTTCAACTTTATTAGAGAAATAATTTTTTTATAAAATCAAAATTTAAGCATATTAATTTTATAAAACAACAAATATATTTAAGTTTGTCTTTATATTTTTCAAAAATTATTTTATTATTCAAATCATTTTAGTATATTTAAAATTAAATTAAAGTTTAAATGCATGTTTTTGCACATAAGTAATTTCTACCCTTAAAAGTAAATTTATCTGAGTAATTTAATTTTACAAATATTTTTATTTTTACTTTTATAGTGAGACGATTAGATTTAAATAAATGTAACTTTTAAGATATAAAAATTACAAAATAACTACTCATTTCCTTTTTCAACTATTATTAAACTTTACCAAACAAAACCTAAAATGTGGAAATCTCGTTGAAGAATAAAAGGATGACGAATGCAATCAAAAAGTGATAAATATCACGCAGTTGAAGAGTTCAATATGATATTTGCAAGGCATTTGCACTTTTTCTTCTGGCAAAGATGGTTCACCAAAACACCAGGTGAAAGGAATAATGTTTGAACTTCTTTAGCATATTTCCTGAGACATTTGGAATACGCAACTAACAACTATAANCTTGATCCGCCTCAATTGTAAGGATGATCTACACATCTTAAATTAATTATTTTTTATTATTTTTCATCTAATGATATTACTTTTAACAGGTATGAATTGCATTATCAACTTATAACTTTTGGAAAGGTAAATATGATTATTATATTATTATTTTAGATTTTTTATTTTATTTATAAGAGTCACGTGATCATTTAAAATTATTTTCAGGTCTTCTGCACAAAACAAAAGCCAAATTGTAATGCTTGTCCATTGAAAAGTGATTGTAAATATTTTGCAAGTGCTTTTTCGAGGTAAGAATTTCATTTTATATAAATTCTAATACATAAGTGTACATTTATTTATTCTAATTCAATAATATTGTACTTATATAGAGAAAAATTAGCCTTGCCGGAATCAAAGCCAGATTAAGAAGATAAAACAGTATCAAAATATGCTTTACCTGAACCAACATGTCTGATTTATGAGCCAAAAAGATGTGAACCTACCATTGAGCTTCCAACATCACCAGAACATGTAGATGATTGTAAAGACATTGAAGACATTTCAAAAGATTATTATAATTCAGAATCTAAGGAAGATATCAGTCTATCCAAAGCTATAATTACATCTTATGCAGATCATATTCCTATGCAAAAAATGAAGGATGTTAGTCGTCTAAAAACAGAGCGTTTAGTGTAAGTTTCTCATTCAATTTAAATATTATATTTTAAAAAAAATGTTATCTGATATTTTGTTTTTAATTTTCTTGTAGTTATGTTCTTCCAGATAATCATCCTCTGTTGTCAGCGATGCAGGTTTGTTCTTATATTTTAAAAATAAAATATTTTTAATATATGTTTTTAACACAAAAGAATATATATGCAGTGTGAACAAAGGCAAACAGATGATCCTTGCCCTTATCTCCTAATAGTATGGGATAGAGGTATATTATTATGACGTAAAATTATTTATTATATTATAAAACATTTATTTTATAGTAAAATGTTAATTTTATACTTTATGTTTATTCAGGTGAATTAGAAGATTCATGTGAATCAAATTTGGACGAGGAAGCAAATACACTTACTATTCCTGCAACTCTTTTGGTAATTAAATTTAAGATTTCAAAAAAATAAATAAATTGTATTCAATAATTAATAATTTATAATTAATAATTAATAATTTATAAACAGATACCATGTCGAAGTGCTATGAGGAGTCGTTTTCCACTTAATGGGACGTATTTCCAAGTTAACGAAGTAAGTATTGTTGAAATGTTTTAAAATTTAGGTTAGTTTTTGTAATATTTATGCTAATTTTTTTCATTTTTGTTAATTATGTTTAAGGTGTTTGTTGATTATGCTTCAATGATACATCCTATCAATGTACCAAGAAAGTGGTTATGGAACTTAGATCAACGAATAGTTTATATTGGGACGACTGTATCATCAATCATGCGAGGTAACAAAATTCATTAAATTAATATATGATTATAAATACTATACTGTTTGTGATAAAATATATATATTATTTTATAGGTTTGTCTCTGGGTCAAATTCAAGATTGTTTTTGGAATGGTAAGAAACTATTTAATTATTACTTATTAATATGTTAAATATAACTATAAAATTATATATTGTTAAAAATATATGAATTTTGCAGGTTTTGTTTGTGTGAGAGCATTTGATGTGAAGACCAGAGCACCTAGACCTATATCTGAGATGTTACATCGCAACACAACCGCTAAACTTAGAAAAGGTAAAGGAACAAAAAAATAATTTTTTTTTGTATAATTGAGAAAACTTTTAATATATATAGTTGGATGATTTATTATATTGGAATATATGTATAGTGTAATACAGCATTAATTTGATATTTTAGATGTTTTCATTTACAATTTTTAAATTATAAAAGTATTTGTAATACGAAAGAATAACTTAATTAATTACTCTTATATTTGTGTATTTATAGAAATTATAGATTAAAAATCAATTAATATAAAGTATAATATTAATTAAGTGTTTGTATCATTGAATTAATATTTTTAAATTAAATTGTAAAAGATTATATTTAATTAAGTTAAATAATTATTATGAAATAAAATATTATATATTGTTATACATCTAATTTTATTTTCTAATCGTACTATATTTTATAGTTTCCAATTTTTATAGTTTAAAGTTATATGGATGAAAAATTGAAAAAGATTTGTATAATAATTAAAAAGAGTTAAAGGATAATAAGGTTGTTCAACAAAAATAAATAATTTTAATAAATTTTTAAGAAAATAAATTTCGAATTAAGGTTACATATATAGTCAGATTTTTGTTATTTTGAAAAAGAATAATAATAAAATAAAATAAAAGTCAAAAATGGATATTGAAATTCAGTTTATTTACTTGTGAAATGATTGTTGTGTGTTTAATGAATAGAAAACATTTATTAAATAAACTACATATGCCCAAGTATCATGGTTGAAGATGTTTGAAGTAAATTTTCATATGTTATTATTTTAAAATTTATTCCAATGTTTTGTCTTGTAGTTTAATGGATTTTTTTAAATGTATTTCTGTTTTAATTAATGAACTTGTTATAATTGATTATAAGGGAGATGATTGTTGACAAGGGATCATTCATGTTCGATTACAATAAACCTCTGTGTAATTAGTCAATATTTAAGACAATAACCCATAAATCCTTTCAATTTTAAATCATTTAAATTGTAAATGTTTTTTTAAGTTTTTCTTATATATCTTTACAAGATAGTTCTTTATCAAATACACAGAAATTCTGAGTCAAGAAAAAAACAAAGAAATATAAAGTGAAAATAAAAAAATAAGATAAGAAAATACAAGAACACAACCTTAAAATTGAAGAAGAAAGAGTAATTATATTGAAGATTAATAGAAGAAGATATCTAAAATAAGAATACAGAGAGTTTTACACTTTTGAGACACTTAAAATTCTTACCAATCTATTTGATATTCAAAATACATGACGCCTTCCTACAAGGTAAAGAAAATCAAACACTCATTTATCTTTGAAACTCTTTTAGATATTTACTTTTGACATATTAAAAGTTTCAACTTTATTAGAGAAATAATTTTTTTATAAAATCAAAATTTAAGCATATTAATTTTATAAAACAACAAATATATTTAAGTTTGTCTTTATATTTTTCAAAAATTATTTTATTATTCAAATCATTTTAGTATATTTAAAATTAAATTAAAGTTTAAATGCATGTTTTTGCACATAAGTAATTTCTACCCTTAAAAGTAAATTTATCTGAGTAATTTAATTTTACAAATATTTTTATTTTTACTTTTATAGTGAGACGATTAGATTTAAATAAATGTAACTTTTAAGATATAAAAATTACAAAATAACTACTCATTTCCTTTTTCAACTATTATTAAACTTTACCAAACAAAACCTAAAATGTGGAAATCTCGTTGAAGAATAAAAGGATGACGAATGCAATCAAAAAGTGATAAATATCACGCAGTTGAAGAGTTCAATATGATATTTGCAAGGCATTTGCACTTTTTCTTCTGGCAAAGATGGTTCACCAAAACACCAGGTGAAAGGAATAATGTTTGAACTTCTTTAGCATATTTCCTGAGACATTTGGAATACGCAACTAACAACTATAACGCGTTTTATTTCAAATAAGTATAGAGATATTTGTCCAAATTAAGTATTAAATTGTACTTTGATTTTTATTAACAAAAAGAAATACTGTGTAACACTAGAGTAATACCTGGGAGTCATTAAAACGCCATAAAAAACTTTAAATAAACTTAAAAAACCTTGTTGCAACACTGTCAAAATCCTCAAAAGCATAAATTGAATATATTTAACAAATCCAAATGTTAATATTTACAAAACCAAATACTAAAATTCAATGTAAACCAATACATAAATTCTTAAAATTATTTTCCTAAAAAATATATTTCATATGGAATCCCAGATAACAATTCCCCTCTCCGAAGCATCTAATCAGCACTTGAAATATCTGCATGTGTTCTCGTAGAACATAAATGTTATATAAACATCGGCACACGCACACACAAACAAGTATGGATGAGTGATCACAATAAACATCAAAACACCAATATAATATTTATATCTCAATTGTTAAGACCTTACCATAATCCTATTACATCAAATAATATCAATACACAGTAAGACTATAATAAACGATACATTAACAAACAATACACTCCCTTGAAAGGAATCATGATCAACCCATTAGCTCCACAAAACATGTCCATTAAAAGCAATTCGCGTCAATACCAATCATCTCTATAAATTTATGTCAACTTCCATACTTCACCGTACCATTCCTATTTACCAAAATAGGACAATTAAAGTGGTCCTCCGCCGCATCTTGGGACCTGTCTCTGTTGCTCCTCAAAGCTTATGAGTAAACACTCCAAGTCGCTCCCATGCACTAAACTCAACATGAGCCAAGACCTACGGGTGAGACATTTATTCCTTTGTACCCCTTGAAAGAGAAAATGATAGAACTCGAATCTCAGTCTCTTCTAGTGACCCTCATGGACAAAGTGACTCATCTCTTCCACCTACTCTTAAAAAACAAAGAGATCCACCTTTCTATCCCTCAAATGTGACTACCTTTCTACCGTGTGGCTGGTTCAACACCATGACTCTCTCAATAAACTAAATAATGATCATGAAAATCATTACCACACAACTCATAACCCATCCTCTTCCACTGCCTCGCACAAACGAAAGAGGACATCTTCTCACTGTGTCGCACAAGCAAAAGAGAACCCTCAAATTCATCAAGTATTACCAAACTTCACCACCAATCACTCTTTGCTCTTATGCAACGAGAAAAGTAACACTCAAGGTATCTCAGGGTTCTAACCTCAATCACTATGACACATTGACTGACACAACTTCAACCTTGCCCACAGCCACTATTCTTGACCACAATCACTAATCACACATAACCACACAAATCGAGGTATTCAAGAGCATCAAGTATATCACACAAATTAGGAGTATTAAAAATACCCAACCCCGCATACAACTCCAAAGTATGTATGAATAGTACGATAGCAGTTTAAAAAGATCAAATCCACAACAAGCCAGCGGCATAATCTATTCAAACCAAAGTAATGAAACACCACTTATTACCAACAAGTGCATATAACTTCACCAACAAGTTGGGTTTCATACATTAGAAGACAACACTATCAAATAATAACAAGGTACCCCATGACGTTACCACATCAAAACCATTTATAAATCTTATAAGATATGGGGGAAATCCTTAAATTATTATCAACCAAATTCAAGTACTAATGTCACGAACCAGCTATAGGAATCCTGCTGCCGAAGCACACAAAACAGCACATACAACCTCATAGTAGTTTGAAATCAATTAATAAAATGCAGCCAATTATAGTCATGGGAAAAACAGCAGCTAGCTACAACATTTCTGCTGCCTAAAGCACACAACCAGTGTCAGAACTCCCATGTCAAACTGGAGTTATACAAGAAAATATAAAACAGCCACCAGGTCAACACAATAACCTGAAAACCAGCGTCAAAAGCATCTAGAACAAATCCAAGTTATTTCAGCAATGTTTGACAGCCAATCAAGCTAAAACAACTCTATAATGCATGCAGAAAAGTGAACATTCATTTTGGTGATAATAGTCAACAACCACACGTTCAAAAGAAAACTAGGCCTTTCAAGGTAATGCTAAAGTGGATTTAGACTGGACATTTTCCACGCTGCAATACATACCTAATGTACCTACCTAATCGAACTGGTTTGATGTTGTTCTAAAAGTTTAATGTTGCAGACCAGCCTCTGGAAATTCCCTATATTGAACAATCATAATGCTAATCTGCATAGTTTTAAGCTCTAAATCCTAAACCCACATACATATATTGCTTACCACATTGGACCGTAGAAAAAATACTAGACTATGTAATTTAAAGCTGCAGACCACTCCTAGACCACTCACCTGTGGGCTTCTTTGGTGCTAAACTTCACAATTTGCATTTGCACAAAACACTCCTAAAACAGCTCCTATACCTCACATTGAAACTCTAACTAGCTCACAATTTCACTCTAAAACTGTGCACCAACTCCCTCACACTTAAGGCTCCAAGATTTAGCCAATTAAATGCTACACCCGAGAGCATTTTACACTGCCTTTAGTAAGTCAAAGCAATAGGACAAACCCTACAACTATTGGGAATTCTGCACCAGCTACTCACCCTTCCTTAACCCAATCTTAAACACCCAATTGCACTAAACCCACCCAGTCCTCCACTGCCACACTAGCTAAGCTATTGTCCTGCACCCAAACTCACCTCAAATCCACCCATTCCAACACCTAAAACATGCATTTTCACGTTCTAAATTGAGACATATATGGACAACTCATATAAGAGAAAATTATACTCCTTCACGTATAATTACAAACCACATAACAAAATAACGAAAATATCAAATATGCAAAGATTAAAAGCAGTGCAATCCAAATTACAATTTGTTTCCAGAGTACAAACGAAAAGTGGAATCATTCCATTAATCAATCCAAAGCATCAATTCGAAATTCACAAGTTACCCAATATGGCAATGGTTCATTATCAAACACGCATTCAATAAATTAATTGAATTACAAACGAGCTAGCTCCCCATACCTTGTCTGAAATCTTCTTGCAATTGAAACCCTTAACCCCGAACTCCTTTGAACGCCTACTGTTCAACCTCTGTGCTCACTCATTCACCTGATTCCACTTCGCTTCTCCTATGCTTCACTGATCCACTTAGCAAAACTCTCCTCCCTATGCTCCCCCTAAGAAAAAATCGAAGGAATCTCCCTTTTTCTCTCAGTCACTCACATTTCTATTTCTTTCTCGCACCTTAATGGCCCTCACTCTCCCTGGCCACACCATGCCCTTAAGCCCTAGGAAGTCTCGAAGAATCAAAGAAAAGGGAAGGAGAAGGACAAGAGTTGACTCTCGAAGGAAGAAGTGAATGAGTTCTCTTCCTCGTGGGTTTCGGCCCAAAAGCAGATGGGTAAAAAAGAGCAAAACGAAGGCAAATCCAAAAATTAAAACACACTTTTGCTCAAGGTTCAAGCCCTAATCCTAAACGCCACACACAATCAGCACACAGCACATACTACCACTAATCCAAACTCAATTCGCTGATTACATAAACATTTCATAATTATTCAGATCATACTCTACAATTCATATAACAAATAAGACATTAAAAGAATAAAACCACCCACAATTATACCATAATAACTCCTACTAATATTTCTACTAGACACTTGAGTAAATATTTCTACTAGACACTTTAACTTATTTTATTAATTACTAATATTTCAAAAATTAAATTTATATATATAATTGTATAAATTTCCTGATCTTACACTGTCAAATAAAAAACATTAATTTGACAACTCACTCTAACAATATATAACAATATGATATTTTACATTAGTGTTTCAAATCAAACGAAATGAAGTTTTAAATAGATTTATTTTATTGATGCTGTGAGTGCGTCACCTCTCTTTTATCAAATATAGTTTGGATCTCATACTCATACAATTCTCCCTTAATAATGCCGACTTTAACAAAATGTGCAACCTTTTTTTTATTGTAATTTTTATAGAATAGTGATATCTATATATCTTTATTTTTATATATTTATTTTATATTTATTTTATATTTATTTTTTGCTCTTCTTATTACATCATATAATATATATTAAATGTTACATGCATCTTTCTAGTGTTCATGAATTATTTTTCACTTTATATACTTTTTAATTCATAGTTTTGTTCTTATATTGATTTTACATTTCTCTTCTGTCGGATTAAGCCATGAATACCCTAAACCAAACGCTCCTAAAAAAGTTAAACGACTATTGAGAGAGAATAACCTTATAATTCTGGTTTTTAATATCTGCTATATGTACTATTTCTAAAATAATAACAACCAATAATAATAGCAATAATAAAATGAATAAATTATTTTATTAATAAAGAAAATAAATGTTCTAAAAAATACTTTAGCCCCTGCACTGCTATGAAACCAAAAACAAAAGCTGGGAGATCTCCTTTGCTATCTTCCAAATTTGTTTCAGCAACCCACAGCATATTTGAAAGTAAATTTAAGTCATGAGCTGGCTGGTCAAACACGTGTCTTGCAAAATCCAATAGACGATGTAAAACAATCGTCCATTCAATGCATCCAATTCTCAATTTGTCACAACTTGGAGTGTAATCACAAGCTAAAATCAACCAAAAAATAAAAACAACTTTATTGATGCAATAGTTTTAAAAGTGCATCAGGCTATGGTTACCAATGACAGTAACATATCAAAGGTGAGACATAATATCATATGTCGAAATACAAAAAGAACAAAAATAATAATAATAATAATGATCACGACGATGATGAAAAAAACATTACAAAAATTGTCCCCAACTTGAACTTGAATTTGATTGAATTAATTAATGGGAATAGATCTTAAGGTTGAGGGACCTGTTGAGCCAAGACCTCAAGGTGCCACTTCCCCTCCGTGGAAGTCCGGCAGTCGGCCCTCTTCCGTCATCAACTGCTGTCTCCTTCGCATTCTCCGCCTTCTTGCAAAGCGTGAAATTCCTCGCTCCATGTGATCCAATTGTATCCCACGGACTCAGAGCTATCAACATCAAAACCAGAATAATAAATTATCATGTTTACTTTCCTATATCCACCACAATTCAAAACCCAATATCCTAATTAGGACTTCTCTGTTAAAAGATGATAATCCAATCCGAATAATCACCAAGATAAAAGAAAATAACGTGTACAACAAATTATCCAAATGATCCAAGAACCAAATCCAGAATCCAACTAAAATTATCAGTTCCCCAAACCAAATATCATGCGAATGATCGAATCAAATTCATTGCCAAGACAAAGAAAAAAATACAACAATGTATCAAAATCTAGCCCAATAATCAAATACAGAATTCATCGTTAATTCTCAATCTCCCATTTGAATATATGCGTTAAGAGTAAACTAAGCTTCTGAAAGTGCTGGATGCAGTAAATTTATTTTTTTAAAATAAAAAACAAAAATTGATTTAGGTCCTGTAGAGAAACATAAAAAAAGAGTCTCTAATTTAACAACATGAAAGTATTGAATTATCTTCTTTCATAACCTAATTCATCAATTCATTGTTAACCTAACCCAATTCATTTTCACATAAAACAAGAATAATCTTCAGAGAAAATTCTGAAAAAAAAAAATTCAAAATCCTAATTAATCATGAAAAAGGCGTGATGAAATGACGAGGAATATTGTAAATGAGAACAAGAAACACGTTGTTTGTGAGGAGTTGCGGGGGAAATTACCATCAGGCCCAAGATGAGGGCAATAGAGAGAGAATCCAGCGTTGTCGGTCCCAAGCAGAGGAAGGCGCCCCTCCCGGGCGTAACTCTTGAGCGCGGTCTCAATGACCGCAGCGACGAGCTCCTCCTCGTTGACGACGAAGCGAAGGGGCCCTGCACTCCCCAGCACGTTGATGCTGATGAGGAACCTCCTCACGTTCGGGTTCTGGTTCTTCTTCTGCTTGGACAACAACATCGTGCCCCAAACACAACAAACAAACAAAAAAAGAAAGTAGACGACAAAGAAGGATCCGAAATTTCGAGATCTGAAAAAGGAAGCTGGTGAGGGTTGTGTTTCTGTTAAAATTGGGAATTCGATTGGATGTGTTGGAATTTAGGGGTCGACGCCGAGGCAGCGGTAGTACCAGCCTTGTTTGCAGGAGGCGAAGAGGAAGGAATGGGAGGGAGCGCTCGCCCTTGATGGGGAAAGGGAGCGCATGAAACCGAAGGAGGACGAGGTTTCTACCATTCACAACGAGGGAACGATCTAGAGGGAATTGGAGCGTTTTGGTATTGGCTTTGCGGTTAGGGCGTGGAAGAGGATGATGAAGAAAGGGGTATTTATACAAAGGGAAAACAAGGGAACAGAAGAAGCGTTTGGATTGAACTCAAATTCGCATTTGGGTTTGGTGAGGTCAGGCTTGGGCTGGATCTATTTCAAACCGAAACTGTTGCAATCGTACGGATATTTTTTGAGTAAGATCGCATCAAACATTTATTTCGTTTTTTTAAATTATTAATCACTCCTTTTCTTTCTTTCAATAATGAAAGATACAGCTACCGTTTTATATAAAATATCTATTATTATAAAGTGTAAATTTAAAATCAACATTTAATGCTGTATTTTTATTTTTTTATTTACTTTTGTGTGAGAAAAACGACGTTGTTTTGAAATTTAACGTGTGGATGGAAAATCAATGAAAAGGAGAGTTGCTTATGAAGTTTGTATAATGGTATATAGTTGGACTCAAAATTATATAAATATGGTTTGAATTTGTACTAGTTATTATTATTATTATTATTATTATATAAATAAGGTTAAAGGAAACATAATTGAAGTTATGGAGGAGAAATTCTTTGACTAGAAAAAAAGAGAAAGAAGAGATATTTGACTTTGTTAGTTGAAAAAGTGTATATAATATGATTTTGCATTTTATTTTATAGTATGAGGATTTATTACCTTAATAAAAATAGTTAATGTGTTTGGATCTTTGTACTGTATCGATTTGTGTGTATTTGAATACTTTTAATTACACTTACAAAATTATTAAAATTATAATTTAATACTTATTAATTAACTGATTAAATTTAATAATTTAATATTTATAACTTTGTATGAAATACTTTTATTTAATTAATTAGTCACAAAAATAATAAAATAATTTTTTTTATAATTATAAAAAAATATAAATAGGTTTTACAAATTTATTATAAATAATCATTTTAATTAAAAAATTAAATTTTAGACAAAAGTGATATAAGAAATATTAATTTTACAAAATTCATTTAAAGAATAAAATTGATAAATTTAGTATTGTAATTTAAAAATAGTTATTTAAAAGGTAAAAAAGATATATACACCAAAAACGACTCTTCCATAATAGTATAAATAGTTTAACGTTTAAATAATTTCCAAATAGTTTGATTTAATTATTTAAATAGAAATTTAAAAAAATTGATAAAAAAAAATACCGTGAATTCGGGTCTTCCAAACCTGAAATTCATACCGAGACCGTAATTGTCGCTAGAAAAGCAAAAACATTTAAATCACAGCACTATTTTTTATTGTTAAATAAGAAAAAAATTACAGCACGAATAAAACGTGGTAATATTTTGCATTACATAAATGCTAACCTTTACTAAATTATCATTTGAGTAAATATTTAGAATACATATTTTATTACTCAATTATCATTATTTCATTAGTTTTATTCTAAAGTTACTGGTTTATAAATTTTAATAAAGCGATGCTATATCATAAAAAATAAAAGTAAAATAGCAAAATAAGTGAAAGTGAGCGTTATTTTGAAAAATTCAATGATAAAATGATGTCATTTTGTTTCTTTTTAAGAAAAATTACAGGTTACCATTCTGTTAAATTTGATGAATCAGTAAAATATCTAAAAACTAGGAAATTCGTTAGTAAAACGTGGAAAAAGAAGATTAGACAGTAAAAGTCACATAATGATAATAATTGAATTATAAAGTGTACTATTTAACATAAAATAATATATTCTTATTATTATAATTAATAATAAAAATACATAAAATATAATTTTAATTTACTATAGGTATTATTACATAAATTACGTCAGGATATGAGCTACTTAATTTTTTAGATGCATATTCAAGGTAAAATCATATCAGAAAGTCTATATAGATGATATGGTGGTCAAATAAAGTAATTGTATCTCCTTGAAAATTTGTTCCGTATTAAATCTGTCACATCAACATGTATCCCTCATGATACAATAAATTAGAATAAAGTAATTGTGCTGTATCATAACTGATGCCTATTTTTTTTTTTAGGGTTAAATATGTTTTTAGTCCCTGAACTATCAAGCGATTTTGGTTTTAGTCCCTACTCAGAACTTTGATGGTTTTTAGTCCTTATTGTTTTGAAACTCTGAGTAATAGTCCTTAAAATTGGACGGCGTTAACTTTTGTCTCACGTGGCTAACGACCAATCCACGTTTTATGCCAGCCATGAATTTATTATGTACCATATTTTGTTTTCTTTTTATTTCAAATTTGCACAGAAGCCCTTAATTTCTTCTATGTTTGCACTTTGATTCTTTTCTTTTCTTTTCTCTGTTTCAGACTGTTGTTTTAGTGCCTACTGATATGGGGGTGGTGGAGATGGGGTCTGTGAGGATGGTGGGTGAGAGTTTTGAGCTTTTGCAGGCTTTGAAGTCTGTGTTTTCTGCACAGGCATCGTTGGTCCCTCTCAGGATTAAGCCAATTACACCATTTGATTTGGTGAGTGAGAAGAGAGATGATAATGCAAATGCCCCTTTTTCTGGTGTGGCAATTGGGGATAAGGAAAAGAATAACAGCAGCAATGCTAGTAATAATAGAGTAGAAGGAAACGGAGTTCCAAAGATTTTTGGGCAAGATTTGAACAGTGTGACTCAATTCAGAGAGAAACTTGCTGTGAGGAAAATGGAAGAGAGGCCGAGGGCGTGGGGAGCTCATCCCAATGGGAATAGTGTTGGTTTTCCAAATGGTATCCATGGTTCTGGTTGGGGGGCCGGTCAAGTTGTGAGACAGCTTGGTCCTCCTGAAATTCATGCTCCTAGGTTGTCCACCTCCGGTGCATTGTCGGTGCCGGAGCTGGCCAATGGCACGAGGCATGATTTTGTGCATAACAATTATCAGCAGCAGCAACGGAAGGCTCAGATGCAAATTGATTTCTCAGGAGCAACTTCAAGGGCTTCAGGGAGATCAATCATTGCGGAATCTGAGATTTCTGATGTTGAGGCATCGTGCAAGGAGGAGAGAGCGAATGTTGCCGATGACAGGAGGCCGAGGAAACGGGGAAGGAAGCCGGCCAATGGAAGGGAGGAGCCCCTCAACCATGTGGAGGCAGAGAGGCAAAGGAGGGAGAAGCTAAACCAGTGGTTCTATGCCCTGCGTGCGGTTGTTCCAAATATCTCAAAGATGGACAAAGCATCTCTATTGGGAGATGCTATTGCTTACATCAATGAACTTCAAGCGAAACTCAAGACGATGGAGGCTAGGTGGCGGCGACCTTGCGTTGGAGGTTCGACAGCTATCTGCGTTTCCCCTTATGTGTTTCTGTACTGTTAGATGGCTGCCTCTTCTGAACCCTAATTGCAGTGTTAATGCTAAAGTGTAAACATCGTAGAAATTAGGGACTTCATTGCAAATTTAGAATAAAAAAAAAGAAAACGTGGAGAGAATAAAATCACACTTGGCATTAGACGTTAGCCACGTTAAATAAAAATTAACGCCGTTTAAAATTAGGGACAATTTATAACAGTTTCAAAACAATAAGGACTAAAAACCATCAAAGTTCTGAGTAGGGACTAAAACCAAAAACGCTTGATAGTTCAGGGACTAAAAACATATTTAACCCTTTTTTTTATTATATTTGTGAAATATATATATATATATATATATATATATATATATATATATAATTTATTAGGATATTATAGGTTTTTTTATAATACTAATATTCTATATTTTTTTATTCTGTTTACTAAATTTAATTACTATTATTATTATTATTATAATAGTAACATTATTATTCATTATTATTTTTATTTAATTAATTATTTGGTTAATTTTTCTAATCATATATATAATTTATTATTACACTATATATATATATATATATATACATAAAAGAAATAAAAATATTTATATTTATAAAAAGTATAATCCTAATATATTGTATATGAAAAATATTGTATATTAAAGTTACAATTTCTAATTCTAAAATATGAAATTTTATAACCAATATAAAAATTGATATTTTGTAATTAATAAATAATTTTTGTTTTCATTGAAAATATATAACTGAAAAATTAAAGGAACTCGATTAAAAAGTACCTGATATATTACAAAAGTTCAATTGAAAATGTTAACTGAAGTAGATTTAAAACTTAATTAACTCTGAAGAAAAAAAACTAAAATATAATGTATATATAAAATGAAAATAGATTATAATAAAATTTAACAAGCTTAATATTTTTTTAAGAGATTGCTGCTTTAATGAAAAAGTATAAGAAATCATCTTAATATTAGTTATCTTTAAAATTTTAAAAGTTTAATATCTTTCTTTGTTTATATATAATCTAAAAAAAATATTAAAAGCAAAAGCTATATTTATATTCTAAATCTAGTTATTTTATGAGAACAAAAAAAGAAAGTGTAGCTTAGCATGGGCATGCACCCATGGTTGTAGGGTGGCGAGAGGCTAGTATTGAAGCACGAGGGTGGATCGCACGTTTAATTACATATCAAAATAAAACTCATATTTATTTACCTTTAGCTTTTCCTTTTATTCATTTGTTTTCAAATGACGTTAAAAGCAATTCTACCTATCAAAAACCGTTCTACGTAACCATCATTGAAATGTTTCGTTTAGCTTTCCAAATTTGTGAGGGGTTGAATTGGGTTACTATATCAAACACTTTCTTTTGTTTAAATTGAGCAAACGTGTGTAGACATTAGGATTTGCGTGTTATTGTCGTGTTTCAATGGACAATAGTATTCTGGGACTTCTCAAACTTCGAATTATAAGAGGTTATGATCTTGCAATTCGCGATGCCATTAAAGGACGTGCCAGTGACCCTTATGTCGTCGTCAGCATGGGCGATCAGGTTCCAACTTGCAATTTCTACACTAATCTTTCTTCCGTTATAAAGTTCCATTATTTATTAACTTAATTGAGAATAGATATGAGTAAATATTTTACTTTTCATATTTGGTATTAGATGATGATACGCTTATATAAAATTTAAGGTCTCCATACTTCATTGTATATTCATTTCAATCATCTGTTTGTTTCCATTTCA